GAGGATATGCCATGGATGCTGCACTGACAGAGAAGGAAAAGACAATGATGATCGAGAAAGCCCACAATGCAATTGTTCTGAGTCTTGGTGATAAAGTTCTCAGGCAGGTTTCGAAGGAGAAGACGACGTTTGGTGTTTGGCTGAAACTCGAAGGATTGTATATGACAAAATCCTTGGTGAATCGTTTGTACTTGAAGCAAGCTTTGTATTCATTCAAGATGACTAAAGATAAAGAATTGACAGAGTAGCTGGATACATTCAGCAAGCTGATTCTTGATCTTGAAAATATTGATGTTACCATCAATGATGAAGATCAAGCGTTGTTATTGTTGTGTTCTTTACCTAAATCCCATACTCACTTTTAAAAAAAACCTATTGTATGGAAGAAAGTCTCTGGCCTTTGTAGATGTTCAAACAACCTTGTATTCGAGGATTTGAATGAAAGAAAGGAGCAGAAACCATCATCATCAGTTGGCGAAGGGTTGTCCGTAAAAGGGAAATCATCGAAGAAAGATGGTAGGTTTGAGAAGAAGAAAGGTAAAACTCAGTAGAAGTCTTATGGTGGTGATATTTATGGGAAACAATCCTTGAAAGGGTTAAATGCATGTTGGTTGGTGCTGGATTGAAAAAGGTGTTTTGGGCGGAGGCTGTTTCGACAGCAGCTTATCTGATAAATAGATGTCCCTCGACTGCTTTGAGGACGAAGACACCTGAAAAAGTTTGATCAGGTCAACCACCTGATCTTGAAAAAATGAGAGTATTTGACTATTTAGCCTATGCTCACATTAGGCAAGACAAGGTCGAACCTAGAGATCTGAGATGCATGTTCTCTGGATATCCTGAGGGAGTCAAAGGTTATAGGTCGTGGTGCCTAGAACCAGGTCGCAGAAGATGTATTACAAGTCATGATGTAGTTTTCAATGAAGTCGAGATGGCATTCAAGAAAACTGGTGATGCTGGTCGAAGTGCAGAAACCTCTGGAGTGGATCTGGAACAGGTAGAGATACATGTTGAGGTGGAGCATAGTGATGCTAAAGTGCATAACCTAGATCAAGTCGAAGAAGAAGAGCAATATTCTGAAGAGGTTGAGAAAACTTTCGATGACTACCTACTAGTAAGAGATAGGTTGAGAAGAGTTATCAAGCCACCTTAGAGACTTGGTTATGCAGATCTTATAGATTTTCCCTTAATCTTTGCAACTGAGAGGCTTAAGGAAGAACCTAGAGATTACAAGGAAGCTATGAGGAGTCGAAATCATACTAAATGGCGAAAAGCCATGGATGACGAGATGAAATCTCTTCATGATAATAAAACTTAAGAGCTTATTAAGAAACCTGCAGGAGCAAGGTTAGTCAGTTGTAAGTGGATTTTCAAGGTGAAGAAAGGAATCAAAGGAGTGATGTCCAAGCGCTTTAAGGCAAGATTGGTTGCTAGGGGGTTCACTCAGAAAGAAGGTGTCGACTTCAATTATGTGTTCTCACTTATTGTAAAGCATAAATCAATTAGAATGTTGTTGGCCACTGTGGCAAAGTTTGACTTGGAACTTGAGCAAATGGATGTGAAGACATCATTTCTGTATGGTGACCTAGCTAAAATGATCCTGATGCGTTAACTTGATGGGTATGCAGAAAAGGATAAGAAAGATTTTGTGTGCAAGCTGAATAGGTCTTTGTATGGCCTGAAACAATCTCCTCGACAATGGAACAAGAGATTCAACAAGTTCATGGCACACATTGGTTTCACTAGGAGCCAGTTTAATCGTTGTGTTTACTTTAAATTTCGATCTGGAAATTCACTTGTTATTTTGTTGCTTTATATGGATGATATCCTCATAGCTAGCAACAATGTCGAGGATGTAATGGAGGTGAAGGTTGAACTCAACAAGGAGTTAGAAATGAAGGATCTGGGAGCTGCCACCAAGATTCTTGGGATTGACATCTGAAGAGATAGAAAGCAGTCAAAGTTGTGTTTATCTCAATAGACATACCTACGGAAGCTTCTCGATAAGTTTGGTATGTCGAATTCAAAGCTTGTTGTGACTCTAACAAATCTTCAATTTAAGCTTAGTACTACTCAGAGTCAGATTACTGAAGCTGAAAGAATCTATATGAGTAGCACTCTATATGCTAGTGTAGTAGGTTCTTTTATGTATGTTATGGTCTGTACGAGGCCAGACATAATGTATGATGTGAACCTTGTTAGCAGGTATGTGGCCAATCTTGGAAAGGCACACTGGTAAGCTGTAAAGTGGACTCTCAGGTACATAAATGGGTTTCTGAAAAGAGTCTTGATTTATGGTGGAGTCTGTGATGGTGATAGCATAGTCAAAATCGAAGGATTCGTCAACTCTGATTATGCAAGTTGTATTGATTCTAGAAAGTCTATTTATGGATATGCATTCACTATGTTTGGCACAACAATTAATTGGAAATCAACTCTTCAGAAGGTTGTTTCCTTATCGACCACTGAAGCAGAATACATGGCCCTCACTGAAACTGTGAAAGAAGCATCGTGGCTCGAAGGTTTTGCAAAGGAGCTGAAACTTCAAGGTCAAAGTATCACTGTTAAATGTGATAGTTAAAGTGAAATACACATGTCGAAGAACTCAGCCTATCATGAGCGAACCAAACACATCAATGTAAAGCTGCACTTCGTCAGAGAGATAATCGAGTGTGGTGAAGTCCAGGCGCTGAAGGTTTCGACTGATGACAATGTTGCTGATATGATCACCAGGACGTTGCCAAGTTGCATATTTTTCCACTATATGCAGTTGATAAAACTGCATGAAGAAAGCTAGTTTATTCCCTGTTGTTGTAGAGTTAGATCCAAGGTGGATATTTGTGAGGTTTTGGGTCGAACTATAGCTTTGTCGAGGAATAGTTTTCATGTATTTCGACAGGAGACAAGCATGAAGTCGAAGATGGGTCGCATGTTGTAGTCGAAGAATACATATTATAGTTGAAGCCTGTTCTAATATGTATTATTGAAATGTTTGTCGAATTGGGTCTTGTGTTATGGATCCAATTGTTTAGTTAGCTTGGGTTGCAAGTTATCTAGTTAGTCTATAAATAGGCTAGATCACTCAGGTTGTTGATTATGGCTAATTGTGTTATTCACTTGTAATCTTTTGTAATATTGAGAAAGTGAATAGTATAACAATTTTCCCTAATCCTTCTTCTTCTTTCTTCTTTATCCTTTCTTCTTTGTCTCTTTGTTATAACCGATTTCATTGTTCACCCAAGAACTATGTTTCTCAATCTTGATTTGTAGAAAGGTAGTTTGTAATCACAACATAACCAATCATGATTCTTCTTCTTCCTAATTCTCTCTCTTTCGTAAAACCTAATAGGGGACACGTCCACCATCACCGCGGGAAATAACGTTTCTCACACGTTCCACACTCACGCGGGGACACATCACCAACTGAACCTGCACCTTTCGCAGGGCAGTTGACCAAGAACGAAGACTACGTGTTGGTATCCCCTACTCCCACGTAGGATCCTGGAAGTCAGCCGTAGTGGACCTAATGATCCAGCCCACAACAGATGATCGTTGGTCCAATGCTGGGGACACATTATAAATACCCTCCTTCGCAGGAGGGTCGGATATTCGAAACTCATTATGTACTTTCTCTCTCACTCATAACCTCACTTTGACATCAGAGTGTCTTGCAGGCACACCCCCTTTTCTTCTTCATCATCGGCGAATTTGGAGCTCATGACGTGTTTGCTGGCAGCTGATTGTCTTTATGATCCCGATAAGATCAATAAATATCCTGAGATTGATCAATTCAATCTATGATTAATCAACTCTTCGTTCTTCTTTTTATTTTTCAATAAACACATACAAGCTTGTGTAACAAAACAATATCGTGGTGTGGTCACACACACTCTCTATGATATATGATAGACAAAAATGAGAGATATAATAACGAGGTTCTATAAGATCTGCACACAAAAGAAAATAAGAGATAATAAGATTTTTTTTTGTCAAATCATGAAGTTATGATTTGAATAAAAAATATTGACTTGGGTCAAAGGTTGGAAATTATGAGATTTGATATCATGATTCAAGTCACGATTCAAAACCATGATTTAAATCACCCACTCTTATGACTTGAATCAAATGAGGCAGTGATTCTAAATTTCAAGGAAATGTATAATTGGAATCGCAACCAGAATAATTCAAATCAAGCTTTACAATAGTCATGATTTAAGTATTCTAGTTACACTCAATACATTGACTTGATCAAATTATTAGGCTAAAAAAAGATTATTATCATGGATTTAACTACTAATTTTCTAAATGAGGAAGATTACAAAGGTAAATTACTAAACACAGACAAGGCAAATGAATACAAATGAATTAAAAGAAATTACAAACACCAGATAAATCAAATAGTAAACATCTCCATAGCCACATTGATGATTTATAAGAAACTCTTATAATTTCTCCCAAATGCAATTAAACCATTATTTTGAAACAGTAGTTTATATATATATATATATATATATATATATATATATATATATATATATATATATATATATATATATATATATATATATATATATATATATATATATATATATATATATATATATATATATATATATATATATATATATATATATATATATATATATATATATATATATATATATATATATATATATATATATATATATATATATATATATATATATATATATATATATATATATATATATATATATATATATATATATATATATATATATATATATATATATATATATATATATATATATATATATATATATATATATATATATATATATGAAATCTTTACTTCCATCAAGAAATCAAGAAAAACAACTTGGAGAGAAGATGAAGAAATAAACTAATCAAATCTTTGAACTGAAGGATTAAATATTTGTGTTAACCATATTACATAAAGTCTAAGGCAACAAGTATAGGATAAAGAATATTCACCAATTGTTCTTCAAACCTATCAATAACTACACCTTATCATTTTGAGCATCAATATTCCTAACTGGCCCTTTAAACCATTTTCTAGCGTCCAATACCCACCAAACCATTATTAAACCCAAACCTACCCCTAGAGCAACAGGTGCATAATTGAAAGTATCCCAAGTTATTGGATAAAATGTTGGCAAAAGGAACACACTACATGTATAACAAATCCATAAAAATGCTACCAAACATATTGGCCTTCTTGCCTTTCCCAAATAAAATGGTCCAGCCTTGAAATTCTTCTCAGGCATCACCATTCTTGCAAATATTGGAACTGCATAGCCACCAACCCAACCAATTGTGCATATTGAAGTTATTGCAGTAAATACCACATTCACCTTCAATATTGGTAGACCAAGAAGAATGCATATTGCTGCACATAGCCATACAGCATTTGTAGGAACCTTGTGCTTTGGATGCAGTTTTCGCCATAAGAACGAAAATGGCACTCCATTATCTCTTGACAGTGCATAAACCTGAAAATTACATGGTTTGAGATAAACTCAAATAAATCAATCAAAAGGCTCGTAGAGTCGTAGTAGTACTTACGACTCTGGCAGCGCTTGTGGTGATTGAAAGTCCGCCAAAGAAGAATGAACCCCAAATGACAAATAGTAGAACTATTGCTCCTGCAGAATTGTGATATCTTCCATGGAATGCATCATATAATATCTGTGCTGGCACAAATGCTCCAGCAGTCTCGTTGTTTGGATCATAAAGATAAGCGAAATCCTGAATCAAAGTTGAAAACTGGTGTTAATTATCATTCTTCTGCTAAAAATTGGAGTGTTAATTGGTTGATTATATTTATACCTGAATGCTGAATGTGAGTGCCAAGATATAAGCCCAACCGAATACTGAAATGATGGCAAGACTACCTAGTATTGCTTTGGGACCATTCTTGTCTGCGCCTTTAGTTTCTTCGGTTAGATGCGCTGCAGCATCGTATCCATAGAGGGAATATTGGCTCACGAGAAACGATAGAATCACCGCATACGGTTTGCTTGATATTCCTGTTGTATTAGGTGCTAATTCGAAGTTTGTGAATACATATGAAGCTGATTGTGTAGTTAGTGCCACAAGAGGTAACATTATCACAATAACTGCGCCACCAATAACCTGACACAGAAAATTTTTGCCTGCAGTCACGATACTGTGCATTCACTGTAATCAGTAAGTTGGTACAGGTAGATAAAGGAGCAAAAAGTACCTGCCACCATATTGAAATTATGTCGATGAAGGCGATAACTTCTAATGCGAATGTGTTCAATGCGGCCCAAATAACAGTGAGGCCAATGTACATACATAAGAATAGCCATTTAGGGGCAAAGTACCCTCCACCTTTATTGGTGCCGGTTGAGAGTAGGATTATACTCTGCAATGTTTGTGATCCTGCATAAGCCTTTTCAAATTCCAACCATGAAAAATATGAAAAATATGAGTTACTTGCGTTACACGGAAACACTGAGTAGAAGTTTAACCAAATTAGTCCATTTACCTGAGTCCCAATCCCGGCAACAAGACCTATAGTTTCAAGCCAAGCGCAGCACCATGAAGAAAATGGTCCCCATTTTGGACCGGCTAAATGTGCAGCCCAAAAGTACAGAGAACCAGTTGTCTGTTATAGATTGAATCAAAACTGAAAATTTGTTCCGTAAATTATTCACAGATTCATAAATTACATGCATAAACTTTATGAGAAGAGACAAACCGGGAAAGATGAACATATCTCCGCCATAGCAATTCCAACAAACCAAGTGAAGAAACAAACAACTACCCAACCCCATACAAGACTTGCAGGGCCTGCATACTGAAGGCTAGAACCATACAAAGGTGTGATTCCAGTGAAAAGTGTCATTGTTGAAAATGATATTGCAAGAGTTTTGAACATAGTCTGCAAAATACAAGAAAAAATAATATTATTTTTATATTAAGAAAATTTAGATCAAAATGGTGAAAGAACAAAAACCATTTCTCTTCTTAGTTCTTGCTTGTAACCAAGCTCATTGAGTCTCTTCTCTGCTGAATCCATAGCTATGTTTTCTGTCACTTCCGGAACAAAGCTGGTTTCACTCTCCCTGTAACAAAGATTCTGTTGACAAGTGCTATTAGATAAACTTCAAACAATAAAATGAAAGAAACTAACAAACTAATAGCAGAAATCTCACAGAAAAGAAGAAATATGTGACTAATCCCACTATATATTTCTGTAGAAAGATTCAAACTTGGTAGTTTTTTCAAAGCAGTTGCAATATTTGAACAGTCATCTGAAGCAGTATTTTCTCAAGACTCTTTTTCTAGTGCGTCACTATTTTATCAAGCAATGAAACAAAAACTGATTTTATACATGTTTTGGTTTTACTTGCGGCATGAAAATTGAATGTTTCAGCGAAATAGTCTCTAACAATAAGCCAACACATTTAAAAAAGGTTCCTTTAAACAAATAAAACAACTCATGATATAATATGATACTAGAGAAATGAAACGTCATTGAACTGATTGCCCCTATTTTTTTAGTTGTGCTTGACTTTTCATTATTAGTTGATTAGGACTCACAATTAATTAGTTGAATTTGAATCTTAAATCTAATGAGTTGAATATGAAAGAAAAATTAAGTTGGTTAACTAAATGAATTAAAGTTGAATTATATATAATTTTTGATTCCTTAGATTTATAAGTCAACTCATTTATTTATGAGAGGAATTATATTATCCTTAAGAATAAAAACTTAATATAAACTTTAATCTTATATTTTATTTTAATTTTACAGTATTGATTGATAAATTATATTTTTAAGTGAACAAAATATTTTTAAAAATAATTATACAAATAAAATTAATATTATATAAATTAATTAATTTTTAAATTATTAGATTTTTGAGAGAATGTTAAATTTCCATCTAATAATTTTTATTTTATTTTAATATTTTTAAAAATAATATCAATATAAAATGTTAAATATAAAATAAAATAACTTTTAAGTTTTTAAATTAAACAAACTAAACCTTATAACAAGTGGAGTTTAAGCAGAAAAGTCAAACTTGAACCAAAATTTAAACTAAAATACTTCTAAGCTGAGGCAAATGAGTCTCAGCTATATTTAACCTATTGTTGACAAATTCACTTGAATGTGGACACAGAAAGAGATGAAGACGGAATTTAAGTAATAAAAAATTGCGGTACATGTGATTAAGAGGAAATTTGTCATTATTAGTTTCCTATTTGTATAACGTAGGAAGGTGCTAATTTTATATATTACTTAGTAGGGATGATGATGTCATTCATTTTAGATATTGAACTTTTAGTAAGCCAGATTTTATCTTGACGTGGTGTAAGAGTCCTAGCTTGAACTTTTGTCTTCTTTTCATTTTCAATAGTATCCTCTATTCTTGGATAATAAAAACAAAGCAGTATGCTACCAACAACGCTATTGCATTAGCATTTAGTGTCGAACTTTTTGAATTTTTTATCCAATTAAATTAATTTTTAGAAATTTTTTTCAAAAATACTCCACATTTCAAATTTTTTTAAAAATATCTTAGTTAGAATTCGGGATTACACAAGGGTGCTAATTCGATTGACGATCCTTTGTTAAAGCTATAAGGGTGGCGCCAATTAGTCTGGAAACACCTCATGCAATCTACAACCCAATTAGTGACTTGATTATGTTCATTAAAGGGTGTCGTCCATTCATCTGGAGACCTATTGTATTTTGAATTTTTTTTTTATAAATAGAAGTATTGTGATCGTTTACTTCCACATCTCATCTGATATTTTTGTTTTACTGGTAACATGTATCGGTGGGGGAAAATTGTCTATTCGAGAGAGAAGCCTCCGATGGACATGCTGTTTTGGAACATACAAAGTTTCAATCAACTTAAGAGGGAGCTGAATCGGTGGTTAGAAGGAGACATTGATGAAGGGAAAAAATTTGTAGTATCGAGAGACTTGATCGGCTGCGTGGATGGGTTCGTGTTAAGACGACAAAGATGCGAGGGAAGTCATATTTGGACCGAATGAAATTAGTTTGATTGTTGTAATCAGTTAGGAATGTTGTAATCACCTAGTTAATATTTTATGTTTAATGAAATTAGTATGTGTTGTGTGTTGTTAGTCTTGTTTGTTGTTAAGACCATTGTAACAAAGACTCATCAATATATGAAAATATTTGGTTACAACAAATTAAACGATAAGCTAACTCATGAAGCAGATGTGCCTCTGACATTAGGACAATTTTTACAGTTGTGTCAGGGCTGACGACATATACTACATAATCTTATCGTTTTATCAGTCGTATCCATTTCGGTTCTTATACACTTGTTGTTTGAGCGTCCCTTTTTCTTTCTTCTCATGTCATTGTTGTGTCAAACTATGTCACCTTGGTATGGGGGCCAATAATCCTCCATTGGTAGTGTCGCTACTGCGAAAATCGTGGCCGGCAATGACAGAAGAGTCACCACCGTGCATTATTTATCCCAAGAGAGGGAAAGGAAACGCTCAGAGAAAGCCTAACGAAAAGAGGGATAAGATCGGTCATCGCAACCAAATCTCGGGTTCGGGAGTCGGTTACGCAAGGGGAAGGTGTTAGCACCCCTTACGTCCGTCGTACTCGACGGGATCCACGCTTGTTGTTTATCTAAAAGGGTGATTGAAACTATCTAACTACTGGCTTGAGGACAAAATAAAAAGAAGTGACTCGGCAAAGCAACGGCGCTTTGTGCCTACGTATCTCATATGAAGTGAGAAGTCAGAGTCAACGTAGTTCGACTAACTACGGGTGAAAGGGGTGAAGGTTGTTCGCCAAGACATCGCGTCTTGTGCCTACGTACTTTCATCTGGTATGAAAGATCAGAGCAAACATAGTTCGGGCTAAAAGGGAACACGGGTTTGTTCAACTTGTTTTTTGGACCCGAGTAGGGTTAACAAGTAATTCTAGCAGTTTGGTGTATGCAGCTCGACCATTGGAGACTTAGACGTTACTGTTTGCGGTAGAACTAAACTCAAACCTAAAGTTGTCATGCACAATGCTCGTAAAGTCGGGATGAAAGGGGATGAAACTATCCTAATATTATCATGCATAGGATTGAACACCTAATGTCTCTCCTACTCCCATCCTAAACGGAGGGACTAGGAATCCTAGGGGGATCATGGCACAAGGCCAAGTAAACATTAAATAAATCAATCACAGATGAAATGAAAAAGAAAAGAAATGAAACTGATGTATTCAAAATAAAAATGATAAAATAAAATAGAATAGAATGGAAAATAAAATAAAAATAAAGAAAAAAGGGATGAAAAATAATACATTAAAATAAAAAAGATTTTTTTGGATTTTATAATATTTAAAACTATTTTTAAAATAAGTAGAACAAATTAAAAAGAAAAGAAATAAAATAAAGGAAATAAAATAAACATGTCATAAAAAAATAAGGAAATGCCTTTGCTAGGAGTTGAACTCCTCACCTTGGCATTGCAAGCACCACACAAAACCAACTATACCACTCACACACGTGTGCAAGCAAATGAAAAAGGAGAAAGAAAAGATAAAACATGAAAAACAAAAAGAATAAAAGAAAAAACGCCCCAGCAGGGGTCGAACAGAGGTACAGGCGGTCAAGCAAGGTCTTATGGGCAAGGTTCTAACCACTGGGGTGGCGATACATCCGTGTATTTATGCCACCCCTTTAATACAAATACTAAAACAGGCGCATGGCTGGGCAAAGCAAGAACACAAACCAAGTGAAAACTCAAAATACGATTTGATCTCAACATATTCAAAACTCAACCAAATTCCATGAAACAAAAGCCTATCTTGCTTGATTTTTCATGAGGATCATTATGGTGCAATCCAATTTTCCAAATGATGTCTCCAATTTAAAATTCAAATGCTCGTGCAGTTATGGAGTTTGAAATGCATTTGGAGTTCAAGACTCAAAAACTGATGCAATCAAGAGCAAGTGAGGGTCTGAGCAATTTTCAAATATGGTATGGAATAGGTTCTGACAGCAAGTTTGATCAAAAAATGCAGCAGAGCAAGAAATGGTATTTGAGTTGCTATCATGAACATGACTAAACTTAAAACAAGGTGATCACAACAAGAGTGAGTTCAAACCAAACACAGGCCTACTTCAATTCTAAACCTGCTGCTCATGATGATTAAGATCTAAAAATCATGCCGAGACGAGATGTAATCTCTGTGAATAACAAACCAAACTCATGTTCTTTGTAAGAAGGAACCTTAAAAACAACAGTGGTTCAACAAACATTTTAGTGTTGAAACTCAAAAAGACAATTCTAAACAAACAAAATTCTTTTTCAAAAGATTTCAAACATGGAAACTGAGGGGCAGATAACAAGCTGATGAATCCTCAACAGACGCTGTGCAGCAGAAATTCCAAGCAGTATTCATGTCAAAACAAAAATCTCAAGGGCATGAATCCAACAGCAAGCAACATGAACCACTTTGATTTTCCGTTTCAACATCAGGGTTTTAATCAGTCAAAGCCAAACAGACAAATGAAATCTCAAGAATCCCAACTACCTAGCAAGTTGTCAAACACACCACACAGTTCCAACAGTGATATTCAAATAATCTCAAAACTATTGTCATAAAGACAAACTAGGAGCAACACTGTCATGAGGCTCGTGGTTAACTGTTGTCATCAAACTTTATACATAGTGGACATTGCTATGATTAGTCCATTGCTGTAAAACAAACCTTGGCCCTTGCAATGCCAGCCTCAAACACTAAATCACACATGGCATACAAAGACAGTCATCAATAGATCCTAACGTGTGAAACAAATTCTAGCAGCCAGGTGAGCATAGTAGATTGGAGCAACAACAGATATAGCAGTGGTGTTCCTCTGATAAACATAGGAGAGAGAGTGCACAAGCTCTTGTAGATCAACCGGAGGAAATCCAACCTCATTCAACAGAACAAAATAATGTGTTGGCCTGCTGGTTCCTATCATTCCAACATGAGCACACGTAGGGAAATCATAACTCTTAGGATGACAAAAATTTGTTGTC